GGCTGCTGCCTCTCAGCGCTCTTGGGCCTTGCGGACGCGCCGCTGCCCCCCCAACCAGCACGAGCAGCACGCCTTGCGCTGCGGTTTGGCGGACTCGGTCTGCGAGCAGCTGATGCCGACCGCCACGCAGCTTACTGGGCTTCTTGGATGGACACCCTGGCGGTCATCCAAGCCCGAGTCCCCTCAGCTGCGGAGCGCCTGCTCGCAGCCTTACGTGAAGACAGAGCTGCGCGGTTGCCTTCGCTGTTGGCTGCAACACAGGCAGCGGCTTACTTGACCACACAAGGCTACGCAGTGCCGGCCTGGGATGAGGCCCTCTCCGAACTGCCGGGCCTGCACCCCCGACATGACGAGCCCGCCGATTTCCTGCGTGGATGGCAGCGCAGAGCCTCCCACGCTTGCGATGAGCGCACACTCGAGATGCACCTTGCTGACTTGTCCCCTGCGTCCCGAGCGCTGCTGCTCTCGCAAGCCGGTCCTCACGCAGCTCGTGCTTTCACGGTGCTGCCCACGTCGGATGATGTTGCCATACCCGACTCACACTTCCGCGTCCTGCTCCTACGCCGCTTGCGCATGCCCCTCCCGCTTGGCCCGCGCAGCTGCTCCTGCCGCGGCGCGCTCGATGCGTACGGAGACCACCGAGCTGCATGCTCCACATCAGGCGTGCTCGCGTCCCGAGCGTTGCCCCTGGAACGCGCCATCGCCCGCGTCTGCCAAGAAGCCGGGGCGCGGGTCGGACGCAATGTCGCGCTAGCCGCCATGAACATTGATGTGCCGGTCCACGATGCGCGGCGCATCGAGGTCGTCTGCAACGGCCTGCCGCTTCACGGCGCGCAACTTGCCGTTGACGCCACGCTTGTCAGCCCGGTGATCCGCGATGGCCGCCCGCATGACGGAGCCGACAACCACCCTGGTTGGGCTGTCCGCAATGCCGCGCGACGCAAACGCCGGCAAACGTACCCAGAGATCGACCGCAGCCGCCGCTGTCGCCTGGTCGTGTTTGGTTTCGAGGTTGGCGGAGGCTGGGCTGAGGAAGCCGCCTCCTTTGTTCGCCTCCTCGCCCGGGCGCGCGCAGCCAGTGGCCCTGCCGCTGTCCGCAACTCCGCCCAAGCCGCATGGGTTCTCCGCTGGAGTGGCCTCATCTCCGTTGCGGCGCAGCGTGCGCTCGCTGCCACTTTCCTGGAGCTCCCCCTCCAGTCGGAGCTTGGTGCTGCTGGCCCGCCGCCAGCTCTGCACGAGCTCCTTGCAGACGCTCGCTGGCACGAGGCTCCTGAGCCGCCTCCCTGCCCGTGCGTAGGCGTCCCACCGCCGTAGCCTGCAGTTGGCACAGGGACCTGGACCCCTCTTTATTCGCAGTTGCAAAAAGGTGCGTGTAAAAAAAAAATTCATCGCCCGGCGCCAACTGCAGTTGTGAAGATCTGATCAGTAGGACGTGCGACAATTGTCCGAATCGCAAGCACACCTTGGCAATTGCGTATGCCCTTCATCGCCCTTCTTAGTTTTTCCGGCCGTTGTGTGCGCGAATACAGCGCTTTGGGGGGCTCGGCCTCCGCTCCGCCTCGCAAGACCGCTTCGCAGCGCATTGGGCCTCCTGGTGCGACACCCTCCCCGTCATCTTAGCCAGAGCCCCGGCTGCGGCCGCGCGTCTCCGCGCCGCCCTGCAAGGCGACGGAGCCCTGCCTTCGACGGCCGCGGCTACCCATGCCCGAGCGCATCTACGTGACATTGGTTTTGAGGCGCCTGACTGGGCTGACCTCTGCTCCGGTGCCGCCACTGCGCCCCCTGACCCAGACCACGCCGACGACGCATGGCCGGTCAAGGGCTGGCAGCGTTCGGCTGCCCGTGCGTACGAGACACATCTTTCAGACCTCACCCCCGCGTCTCGAGCGCTGCTGCTGTCGCAGGCAAGGCCCTTCGCTTCCCGCGCACTGAACCTCATGCCCACGCGCGATGACATCGCCATCCCCAGTGCACAGTTCCGCGTCCTCCTGCTACGGCGCCTGCGCCTGCCCCTCCCACTCGCACCGCGCAGGTGCAGCTGCCACGGAGCACTGGACCCCCGCGGCGACATCGGCGACCACCGCACGGCCTGTGCCACTTCCGGCGTCCTCGCCACACGCGCGCTGCCCCTTGAGCACGCAGTTGCGCGGGTCTGCCGCGAAGCTGGCACCAGGGTCGCACGACAAGCCAAGCTCGCCGACATGAACCTCGACGTTCCTGTCGCTGACGAGCGACGCATCGAGGTCGTCGCAAACGGTCTGCCCCTCTGGCATGGCTCCCAGCTTGCGCTTGATGCCACCATCGTCTCCCCGCTGACGAGACGTGGCGAAGCCCACCCGCGCGCCGACGTCCAGCCGGGCTGCGTTGTCACTGCCGCAGCGCGGCGCAAGCGGTGCCAGACGTACCCTGAACCTGACCGCGCCCGTCGCTGTCGGTTAGTCGTTGTCGGCATCGAGACTGGCGGCAGGTTCGGCACCGAAGCAGTGCAGCTCCTGCGCCTCCTCGCCCGCCATCGCGCTGCCTCCGTTCCAGCTCACCTGCGACCGGCCGCCATCACGTCCTGGGTCGCCCGCTGGTCCGGACTGCTCGCCGTTGCGGCCCAGCGCGCCTACGCCGCCACACTCCTCGAGCTGCCCCCCGCAGCCGAGTTGGGCGAAGGACCCATGCCCGATTTGCATGAGGTCCTCGCCGATGCGCGCTGCGACTGATGCAGGCTGTGCTCCCGCGGCCGCTGGTCCTGCCTGGACCGCGCCCACCCGCCCTCCTTGTGGTAGGCTGCCTGCCGCTAGTAGGCTGACGACAGACTCTTCACTGCAGGCGCAACAAAAAAAGAATAATAAAGGAATTCTTCGTATTTGTTAGCTTAGGCAAATGCCAGCATGCCCGAAGTTGCAGGGATGGTTCTGCGTCAGACATGTGACATGTGGCTCAACAGAATTGGGTATCCGTGGGCAACCGGCTGCTGAAGGTTCTCCTTGTTGTTTGTCAGCCAGTGCAATACTTCCGATCACAAATGCTAGATGTGCCAGGCCCGTCAGGGCCACTATCGTCGAAGCGGCCTGAGCGCACTCGAATTGTGTTACTCATGCCGGATTTGTCTCAAGCAGCTACGCAGATGCGGTTCCAGGCCCATGTGGTATGCCAACGAGCCGATTTCCGACATCGTCTGATCCACCCAAGCACCTGGTTAAGACGCTTGGTTCGCTTCATGATGACCTCGATGTTTTCGGAGTGGCGTTTAGCGATTCTATGGTGCTTGCGACCGTGTCAGGACGAAACTATGCAAACATTTTACGAAAGGGTATTGTCGGTACGAGGACCTGGGCGAAACATGCTCCACAAAGACTGTGAAAGGATTTTGCGCAGTTTTTGCCAGGGCAATTGCACTTTTGCTCATCAGTTGGACGAGCTTGTGTACCGGCCCGATCTTACGCCACTGGTCTTTCAAAGCGTGTGGCCCGAGTCCAAACATGTACCTGTGGACATGGTGTGGGGTCTTCCATAAGGAAAACGAAGTGGACCGGTCCTCAGTGTGCAAGTTTCATGCGTGGATATGTGGGGAGGTTGATGAGACGTGCCTGTTGTGCCATCTGGAGGTGCGCCCGGTTTTTGTCCGGCGCTTGCAATGTCAGAAATTGCAGCTTTGCCCACAGTGTCGCTGAACTCCGGCATGTGGGTCCTGCCCATATGGCAACAACAGAACAGGAGCGATCTTGCTGTGTGATACACTCGGCGGACTCGGCAGAGATTGGTAATGTTTAAACGTACCGATGAATTCGCCTGTAGCAATGTAGCATTCACCACGGGTAGCAATAGAGGCACTCCTAACCGCCCTCACTTAGCAAGGAGTCGCAGAGCTCCGCGCTGTGCGAATCTAATGCCTCGGTGGGGCGTGGGAGTTCTGGTTGCATGTGATGCCATTGCGCAGCTTGCGCAGTTTGCACGGCTGCTCGGCATCACGTCCATCATTGCAGCTCCGGTGGTTCTTAGGTTGCGGGAAGCTTTGGCCGTGGAGATGTCTCCACTCCCAGCCGCTTGGTTGCCAAGCAAGACTGTCTGTTTGCTAGCATCAGCGAAACTGCCGGTGGACGTGGCTGCAGAGGTGGCAACAATGCCAACACCTCCGCAGCATTGGTTTCACAGGCAACTCATGAATGCAATTCGACATTTCGTGCTTTTGTGCGTTGTTTGTCTGCGTTGTGTAAGCTTGGCATGTGAACAGGCCAGAAGAAGCGACGACGGTTCGAAGCTCAGTGCTTGTAGGTTTCCATGTTGCCTTCCTTATGATCTGACGCCACGCGCCTCCAAAGGGAGGCGCCGTCTTCATGTGAAAGACACTTGTGACCACTTGTGGCACGCGGAGTTCCGCATCTTACATCCGACGAGCTATGGGAACATGTTGTAGCACAGCCCCAGACATCCGATTCTGGTTGAACTTGTCCTGGACTTTAGCGGAGAGGGCTCTGTTTGCAGCTCAGGCGACGCCGCCCCTCTTTCAAGATGACGGTTACGGCGAAGACGCCGCCGGCGAGGGTTTCAACGCTCGTGCCAGGTGGTTTGGTTGAAGTGTAGAAATTTCTTTGTTCGGAATGTTTCGGTGGTGGCAGCACGTACGGCAACATGCATGCTCAGGTGCAGGTGGACATCCGTGTGCATCCGCTTGTTACTGTGGAAACGACGTCGACTGTTACGGCATGGCCGCATCCTTCTTTCCAGATCCAGGCAGACGCTGTTGTGCAAAGCAGAAGTGGACTCTTGGAACACTTGGTACGAAGACGATTCTTGAGAGGGATGCTTGTAAACACCAGCCAGTAGCCAGGAGTTCGCAGTGGAGCAAGGTGTGTTCAACCATCGGATAGCGTCTCGGTGTGAAGGGACTCGTTGAGGGTTGTCGTTAAGGCGGATGGAAGCCTTGGCTGAGCGAGCAGAAGTTTCCAGGCTCTTCGGGTCTCGTGGTGAGGCTCTGCCTCTCCCGGCTGTCCTGGCTGTCCGGGCTCGAAATCGCGGGACTCCTGGTTTCCCACAAGACCTCGGATCCGCCAGGGCTCGGACTGTGCCACTTTTGCACGCAAGATCTTCACAGATGAGAGAGCCGAGGACACGATACAGCCCGGAAGGCTTGTGCACGCAGCACGCGAGTGATAATCTTTCGTTGCGATTGCAGGAATTGTGGCTTCTGTTCATGGTGGGCACGTATGTGTATCAGTTTGTCAGTCTGTGCACGCCGTGCATGTTCGCTTGTTCGTCCATCGCTTGTTCGTTTGTTCGTTCGTTTATTCGGTTGTTTCTTTGTTTTGCTTGCTTGCTTGCTTGCTTGCTTGTTTGTTTGTTTGTTCCCCACATCATTGTGTGGGGTTCTTACTTTTTGGAGCTGTCCCGCCTTCTCCTCCGCTCCTTCTCCTCCTCCTCCTCCTCCTTCTCCTCCTCCTCCTCCTTCCTCCTCGCTCTTCCCTCCTCGCTCCTCCCTGCACACACACACACACATGCACGCACACGCACACACGCACACATGCACGCACGCACGCACGCACGCACGCACGCACGCACGCACGCACGCACGCACGCACACACACGCATACACACACGTGCCTTCAGGTCTCTG